TCATCATCATCCTCATCCTCATCCTCCTCTTCATTCTCCTCCTGCTCCTCCTCCCCCCTTTCTGCTCCTTTTTTCCGGCTGGACGTGGAAATATGCCTCCCTTCCCCCATACTACAACTGATCTCGCGCTAACTTCCAGAAGGCTACCTTCTCCCGCGTTATAACTTTAACCCTAATTCTAAAACCAACGCTGACTATTACCTCCCCTGGAAGTTAACGCGAAGCAACCTGTAATAGAAGGTGCACTACCCTTTTTTCATCCTCTTAGATGGTTCCAGGGATGTGAATCAGTGAGCGCCCCCTACCATTGTATACTCGCAATCGAAAGCCGACAGGGCAACGGGTTCGTGGCCCAGTGGTTAGAGGTGTGGACTTCTAACTAACAGGTCGCGAGTTCGAGCCTCGGATGTTCCACACTTCGGGGTTGGGTATGACTGGCTGACGACGGCTAATAAGCCAGAAATGGCCATTCCAGTCTTCCTTGTCTTTGTCGGTAATGACATTCTGCCTATGTATTATGCGCCGCTGTGAGGCTGCTGGTTGGGCTCGAGGGAGAGCCCGTAAGGCACAACGGAACGAGTGAGTTCCGTAAGAACGATCGGTGAGCGCCCCCTACCGATGTAAATCTTCCTTTCAACATTATTGCAAATCTGCCTGTCACAATCAATCAGCTGGTCGGTCACGAGCACGTCGGACTTCCACCGTCCCGCGTATATCAAAATGTAAGGATTAAATAACGTAAGTTATCGTAGATGAGCCATGCCCGACCGGATGGACGGGTCTGTCTGCATCACGTGATGGCGACGTCTGGACCTGTAGGTGGGAGGGAGGGGGTGGAAGGCAGTCAACGTCACCAGAGGTGTTCTTGGCACGTGCGGGGTGTGGAATCTCATTGGAAAAGACGTAGTAAATTACAGTCTGAACACCGGCTGTGGTCATGCCTGTAGTGTGTACTCCCGGCCTTTATCCCGTAAGCCTTTACGGCAAACTCAAACGCAACCATAACCAAAACGGAGGCCTTGAAACCCTAACTTCTAACTCTAACCCTAAAACCTCAACCCTAAGCCCATGGCCCTAAAACCCTTGTGGAGAGGTACCAGGCTGCTTCACATTTGACGATCTACTCCCGTTTGCTTGTACCCTATTGGTAGTTTTACTCTTACCCTATTGGTTGTTTTAACTGGCAGCGACCTATCGCCAGGCAAACCGTGAGGAACCGCAGATATCTAAATAAAATAAGAAGGCAAGTTTTTGAACAAGCACCGACTGCAGTTGCGTACCATGCCCTCACCGTGTTAGCTTTAAAAAAGTTTCTAATTGTGAGATTTTTCAATACCGTTAAATGGCCGTTCATGAAACGTCATGTATCTGCATTTACGAATGTGGCTTGTAAAGTTAAAAATATTGCTCAAATCCACTGCTTAATTTTATGAACCTCATATGGTCTCCACTGAACACCGCGGAGAACTGCATGGTTTTCCGTACACGGAAAATATACAGCTTGTAGTTTTGAAACCCTGAATGCAAGTGTAACAGCAGGTCGGGTTCAAAATTATTCGGGAATTGGAAAAGTTTTTTTAAAACCGAATTTCACTATTTTTTGAGTATGAAATTGGAAGAAGACGTGATTTTCTACCGAATAAGTAAAATAATGAGTATTTGTATGCATGTTTTCCATGAAATATGATTGAATTTTCAAGGGCATCGAAAATCAATGAGAAAATTGCATACTACATAAGTAGTCATTTCTTGCAGAGTATAGATCTTGCATGCTGCCGAAAATAAGTTCTTTCGAAAGCCGACACCCTGAGGTAACTGGATCATTTCATGAGTTAGCACATCTACCGTATGCTCCCTTATCCAACGCCGTCCAAAGCGTTCGAAAAGTCATACAGAAAGGGCGAAATGCAATCCTGTAAGCAGCACAGAGAAACTCGGGACGTCACAGCAGCCCTATTTGGGGACAGCACTGTTTACCTCCTCGTGCAGGAAGGGACAAAAAGTGATGTCCTAAACAGACGCCGAGATTACGTTACCTAAACGCAGACTGTGACTCGCGGATGTATAACTCACGGTCGAAACAGCCGTACAAACAACAATCCTTGTCTCCTCGCTGACTGAAGGGGAGTGCTGGGTTCCCATGGTCTTGGTGAGTGAAACGACAACGGTCTCCTTAATTTGTGAGCCTCCGCAGATCACCGTATTCTACTGACCAGCGTCTTCTTTTGCCCACAAGAGGGCAACCTGCATGCACGACGTGACGTTGGTAGCTGGCGGACTGGCAAGTCTGACAGGACCTGTTGCCGGTGAATACCATCTCTGTCGTCGACGGCCGAAGTGATCACTCCCTCCCCCTCTCTGAGATGAGGCTCAGGCATGGTTCAGCCAGAATTATTCTAATATCATATCTTGTCTGTCATAATGCTTAGTAGTGATCTGTTTAATTAAATGAAATAAGGCGTTCTAGATGACGAAAACGACTTTAATCGGTCGTAGCGGAAACTTTAATCAGGTTCTGTATTAGAAGGTGAACCACACCCAGAGCGGTGAACGAGAACACAGTGTCATAAGGCAGAGACTGACACAGCCGAGGCCAACATGTGAGGTTGAAAGTCTATCTAAATTGTGCTGGCATACGATGCACTTTCGAGGTTATTTCAACCAATGAAAATGAGACAGGCGGCACATAAATCTATCAGTGTTAACCGACCGTCGATAAAACCCCTGTTATTTATACGTCAAGCATCAGAGCCGCCAGTCTTCGTTGCGTTGTCTTGGCTGGGCTTTGAGATCGAAGCATGCAGATCTTCGTGAAGAACCTGAAGAACCATTCAATAATACTGAATGTGGAACCAATTGATACGATACTGAAAGTGAAGAAGATGATTGAATCCAGGGAAGGCATTCCGCCGGAGCAGCAGCGTCTGATTTTCGCTGGCAAGCAGTTGGAGGACGATTGCACACTGTTAGACTACAGGATCCAAAAGGATTCAACGCTGCATTTGGTGGGGCGTCTGCTTGGTGGTATGCAGATATTCGTGAAGACGTTGACGGGCAAGACGATAACGCTGAATGTGGAACCTAGTAACACGGTAAGAGAACTGAAGGCGATGATTGATTACAAGGAGGGCATCCCGCCGGACCAGCAGCTTCTGATTTTTGCCGGTAAGCCGATGGAAGACGATCGTACACTGTTAGACCACAGGGTCCAAAAGGATTCAACCGTGCATTTGGTGGGTCGTCTAGATGGTGGCATGCAGATCTTCGTGAAGACGCTGACTGGCAAGACCATAACGCTGGAGGTGGAGCCGAGCGACTCGATTGAGAATGTGAAGGCGAAGATTCAAGACAAGGAGGGCATCCCCCCAGACCAGCAACGTCTGATCTTTGCTGGTAAGCAGTTGGAGGACGGTCGTACGCTGTCAGACTACAACATCCAGAAGGAGTCAACACTGCATCTGGTTCTCCGTCTGCGTGGTGGCATGCAGATCTTCGTCAGGCTGCTGGCGGGCAAAACAATAAAACTGGATGTGGAACCCAGCAACAAGATAAGCGAAATTAAGGAGATGGTTAATGGGAGGGAGGGCATTCCGGCCAAGGAACAACGTCTGATTTTTGCTGGTAGGGAATTGAAGGACGACGATACCCTATTGAAATGCAAGGTCGAGAAGGAATCAACCCTGCATATGTTGTTGCGTCTGAAAGGTGGCATGCAGATCCTCGTGAATACGCTGACGGTCAAGACGATAAATTTGCGGACTGAGCCGAAGGAATCCATAGAGAAAGTGAAAGCAAGGTTTCAGGACAAGGAAAGGATCCCTCCAGACCAGCGGCATCTGATTTTTGCGGGTAAACAGTTGGAGGACGTTCGTACGGTGTAAGACTACAACATGAAGAAGTAGTCGACGCTGCACTTGGTGCTTCTTCAACGCAGTGATTACTTGAATCATTCCTGTCTTTCTAAAGATAGCATTTCGCCTTTTATCTTTGTCGGTTGGTCTTCTTGAGTGTAGGTGGTATGGCAGCTGATGTTACTGTGGGTAAAGGCTCCAATTGCTTAGTTTCCTAGACTAAATTGACGACGGAAGTTCTCTTCTCTTGTTTGCAAAGTCTTGGTTTCAGTATTTCATACTTTGATTACCGACGTAGACTGTGGTCTAATGCATGAAAATTAGTAGCGTCGAAGCGTTGCTATCTGAGTCAGTAATGATAATTTTGGTTTGCCGGATGGCGTAGTCCCTGGAATACGTATTCTATATGTCATTTCAGTTCAGTTTTATTGAGGGGAATGTAGGTCTTCACTTTTGAACTCCCCTATTTGTTTACAGGCAACTGAAAAGCTCAAAAACTGGAAAAGGTATCATAAAGGCAACAAATAATCGGAAAAACGTCAACTTTGTACAGACAAACAAACTGTCTCGAGTGTTAGTGATGCGAGCAGTAGTACAGTGGTCGTTTCGAGTGCAGGGAAATAAATAATATCCTCAGGGACAAGTTTCTTAGGTACATGCTAATGGACGTGGGGGTGGGTTAAGGACAATAAAAAATCGATTTAAAATGTTACTGAAATATAGCAAGTAGTATAATAACAACGGGATTTGTCAAGGTTACAGGGGTCGGGTGGTAATTTAGCGGACACTGCTATACAAATCCAGATTCCTCTTAAAGACCTCGACGGAAGCAGGGCGTTCCAAGCTTCTAGCATTCTGTTAGAGAAGAAGAACTTTCGTGTTTCCAGCCTGGCCCCTGCCACACGTAGTTTGAATGGATGGCCTCGTAGGTGTGTGGTGGTTGCTAACTCGAAGAGACTGCAGTCCTGACCGCGTATGATACGGAAGGCTTGTATCAGATCACCCCGTAACTGCCTGTAACTCAAGGAAAAGAGATCAAGGTTAGCTAACCGCGTTGCATATGGTAGTGAACCCTGTCCTGCCACAAGATTCGTTGCACGCCTTTGAACCCTTTCAAGGATGCTGAGGTCCTTCGCGGTACAGGGTCTCCAAGCTTGGATAGCAAATTCTAGTTGCGGACGCACAAACGTTCGAAAGACTTTAGCGAAGCAGTCTTCATCAAAGGCGGAGAAAGCCCGCTTGACAAGGTAGAAAACTGACATTGCAGACTTGGCTATCTTCGTGCAGTGGAGCGATGGTTTGAGCGAGGTCGTAATCCATATTCCCAAGTCCTTCTGCGAGTCCACTTCTTGCAGTGGTATACTATTTAGGCAGTATGGCATGCGATTCGGAGAGCTGGTTCTGCCGACTCGTATAATATTGTGCTTGTTCTCACTGAATGGCAAAAACCAGTCCTTCGACCACTGTTAAAGTCAGTTTAAATTCGCCTGTAAATGCTCTTCGTCATCTGCAGTTCGGATGACGCTCCAAAGCTTAATATCATCCGCAAACATGGCGATACCACAGTCCAGTTCACTAAAGCAATCTTTGACGTAGATAATGAACAGAGTAGAACCGAGAACTAAGCCTTGAGGAACACCGCCTTCGACGGCAACCTCCGCCAACTGCTGGCCACCGACATGGACAGTTTGAGAACGGCCAACTAGGAATCCTCGGATCCATTTTAAGAGATTACACCTAACGCCTGTTCGACTCAATTTGTGCAGGAGTCGCGGAGGTGGGACACTAACAAAAGCCTTTCTAATGTCCACATAGACTACATGCAGCGCATTGCCTTCATCAAATGGCCGAGTCCAACGTTCCAAACAGTTGAGCAAGTTAGTCACGCAAGACCTGCCACTAGGAAACCCATGCTGCGCATCAGATAATAAATTATACTGCTCTAGGAACAGCATTAGCTCTCGCTCAATTATTTTTTCTATGATTTTGCAGCAGATGAAGGTGAGGCTAATTGGGCTGTAATTGTTTGCGGAGGCCTTGCTGCCTCCTTTATACAGTGGTGTGATCCGTTCAGATCTCCAGTCGGCGGGTAAACAGCCGGCTTCGAACGAGGCTTGAAAAAGCATAGAAAATGGTTTGGCTAGTTCAGCAGGGAGCTCCTTCAGTAAACTAGGCGCTATGTCGTCTGGACCTGGTGATTTCGACTCAGTTAGCGTCATTAGCTCTTTGCGAACTGTCGTTTCATCAAAAGATATAGCCTCAATGATCGGACCCGTTGATCCGTAGGGCTCATTAAATTACTTTCGCTTGACATCCGAACATATATCATCTGACAGTCGCTCTAATGCATGGAAAATGTGGATGTTACGCGGTGGGTGTTTCGCCGTTTTGGACAGTGGGCGGGTACGTTGACTTCCGCGGGTCACCTGCAGCGCGAACCGTGGTACTACTGAGTTTAATTACCAGAGGGTGTAGTGTAATGTGTGCTGCCAGTAAAGACCAGTCCAGTTCAGATTCAGGGACGTTGATTTAAGTGTTCTACAGGCAGGGCGACTGATGGCCCATTTTGGTCGGTCGTTGAGCTAACAGTCATTTGGACGTCCAGTCGTGCAGTGTTCGTACGCAGATGTCGGTTTATTGCTTCGGCGTCTGTTCTGCCACAGGGTATTCCTGCGTCCAGTTGTGTGGTCAGCGCGTCCATCGGCAGAGGATAATTAAGCAGTCCTTACTATCCATGAACTGACATTAAGCGCTTTTTTACCACTGTCTTGGTCTTGAAGACCAGACGTCCGCCCCTTGATAGAAAGTTCAACATTCAATAAGACCCCTGAAAATTCGTTGCAACATTTCGTTCCGCAGCCTTGGCGTTTTCAGAAGTCGATGCGGTCGTAACACAGCCAGAAGAAAGAGATAACTACATCGCAGGCTAGAACACAACGCCGCTTCTTCCACCGACATTTTAGATCCTTACCACCAGAGCACAAATGCAATACAAGGTGGACATAACTTACCTACCGGAGGCGAACTTCTCAGATCATAACTCGCATAGTATTGGGAGTTAGACGCTAAAAGGTGCTGTAACGCCTACCACGACGGTGTCAATGATAACATCGGCGAACACAGCTTTGTATTCGCCGTGAGCACCTAGGTACGGATTTCACCGTTAAGTGATGTCATCGAGGATTTATCTCGAGCGTAATCGTGGTGCTGTTAGTAGCGCTGCGGTAATTAAAGCGTGGGACTCAGAACAGGATGCTGATGATTCGTGAAAGCAAGACTCGTCTGGCAAGTGTCAACAGTGGTGCAGTCACGTTTTGCGGGGATATGGAATGCCACGTGCACGGTCATTACGCGGTGGAAGGCCGTCGGGTGAACTGCAGATGGTTTGCGAATGTTGCTGTACTGAAGCATTTTACTGTCTCAAATGACCACCTTGCATCTGCTCAGCTGGTGATCCTGTCATGGTTGCGTCCGAAACGAATGTCTATGAGACGGCCCCGTTGTCCGTGACGCGTGTCGGCATGTCATCCTGAAGCTGACATACACAATGTGCGCGAATACCTCAGAACATCTGAATTTATGCATGAATTCTCAGAATCCTTCGCGATTCGCCGTATTCAGGGCTTTCGTCGGACCAACGAAGGTGGTGTCGAGGTGGGTCATCATTCCTTGGAACTTATTTTGTAGCTGATGAACAACGAGGGTCATGTCAGTAGTTCCGCGATGTCATCGGAAGCCATACTGGTTTTGCGACAGAAGTCCTTGCTCGAGCGGTTAAGGACGATGGGAGGGGATCTAGTTCCGGTGATGCCTCTATGGTCCTCTCCGGGTTGTCGGTTTCCTTTCGGGTTGTAGAAGTGGACGACTGTCGCTTCCTTCAAATCATGAGGAACTTGTGCTTGACGCCACATGTGCTGGAGTATCGCTGCCATTTGTTCGTCAGGGGGGGGCAGGGTCATCGTGCTTATAATCTTCGGCCGAGATCGCTTCAGATCCTGGTGCTTTCTTGCTGAAGAGTTGTTGCACTGCTGAGATGGTTTTTGGAAGGGGGTGGGAGGTCCAGATCGGTGTTCGTATGCACTTGGGGGAGTTAATCAATTACGGCGTTAGAAATGATGGGTGGGCTGTCGAGAACACCTCTAAAGTGTTCGGTCCAGGGCTGCAGAATTTGCACTTTCTTCGTCAGAAGGGTTGTTCCATGGGAGTTGAGAAGCGGGGCAATTCCTTTGACTGTGGGACTGTAAACCATCATGATTCGTGGGAAGAAGTTCATTGTTTCGTCGCGATCTGCATATCCATGGATTTCCTCAGACTTGCAAGCCACCCAGGCGTTCCGCATCACCCACAAACGTTGCTGAACAAGACGGTGACGAAAGTGGAAGAAGGCCGCATTGTTTGCATCAGTCCGACAGTATGGTTATTTCAGTGTCGTTGTCGTCACACGAGCCCGGGTGTTGACAACCTGTGCTTTCAAGATGATCCAGAGTGGTGAAATGGATAACGTCTCGGAGTAAGTACCAGCCAGTCTCCACGGAGGCGGTTTAACCTGGAGCTTACAGATCTTCCAGTCGCTATGGAAGTTGATTGCTGAAATCGAAGTGGTGAGCGGACGAATTCAGGAAAACAGTATTTAACTTAACTGGTGGTCGCCTATCTTGCGGCCTCCTGTGTGGTTGCAGTCGGAGTCTCAACTTGTAGATGGCGAGACGGTGGTCGGTGCAGCCATCGGCATGAGAGATCGCCTTCGCCATCAGGAGATTCTGCCGATCTCGCCAACGGACGAGAACATAGTCCAGCAGCTGTTTGGCGTCGCAATTGGGGATGCAGCCAGGTTGCCTTCTTCCGCGTTGGAGGGCAAAATAAAGCGCTGGTCAGTAGGAGACGGCGTTCTGCGAAGGTTCGAAGAAAGAGGAGACTGTTGTTGTTTCAGTCATCAAGACCATGGGGATCCAGCACCCCCCCCCCCCTGAGTCAGCGTGCTCTGTCCTGACGCAGACAGAACAAGACACCAAGAACAATCAGCCTATCCG